TTGATTGTTACTACGAAACCACTATATATTTTCTCCACTACTCTAGGATTCTTAAGCCTTTTGTTTTTACCTCATAATTTCAACTACAATTTTTAAGTACAACGACATTTTCTAGTTTCTCTTTCTAATAGTAATGAAAAAGAACGTATCCCCTTCTGAATCCTATTCAGAGAAAAATAAAACCAATTAAAGGGATTTGAGTGTTTTCCATCCGAATAATGCAGCGAATGCCAAGGCCGATTTTCGGTTTAAGGTTCCATTTGGATAATGTACGTATGAGCATGTTTCAACTTGATGAGCTCCTAATTTGTCCTAGCCTAAGTGAATTTAGTCTGATTTAGACTTTAAAATTAGTCATGTATTTTTAAAGGGCTTAGGTTTATATTTCAGGTGGTTCAACCTGATTTAAAATATAATATTTTTTAAAATATTATATTTTTATTAATTATTAAAAATTAATGATAAAAATTATTTAGTTATTAATATTTTTTATAACATAATATTATATTTATAATGAAATTACTTACTTAAAGATAATTATAATATTATATTTACAATGAAATTATTTATTTAAAGATAATTATATATATATATATATATATATTTGTAAAATATATCTTATTTTAAGTTTTGTACTTTTCTATTTTACAATTTAATTATACATAATACTAAAATTAATATAGTGTAATATAGTCGATTAACCTTACTTTGTACCATATATTTTTTAGTTTTGCTCTAGTTGGGTTTTAAAGAATTGTCTAATTAAAAAATTCTAGTTCGTTGTTGTTCTTACCGGAAATCTGCTGTAGAGCTGATCCGCCAGGTAAGATCGATGAGCCTCCTTCACGGGTACGCTGGTGCTCCAAGATAGGAGTGGTACCTGCAAAAGAGACTCCGATGCTAAAGTTAGGGTTTGTATGAGTGTGAGTCTCGTATAAATAATGCACATACCTGAGTGTGAATTAGGGTTTTTCTGGGCCTTGGGCCCGAGATCAGTTATGACCTAATTGGATAGCGGACCTCGTCTTGGTCGAGGTCGCCCAACGCGTATCCGAAGTCGTCTTGCGCTGTGATGCCGAGCTCGAGCTCGATAAGACGGTACGGATAGTACAGTTGTGAATAAGAATAAGCTTGAGTGCCTAACGTGATCCATGTTCACCTCTACTACAAACTAGTATAGATATAATATATTTACTTATTAGGTAAGTTGATGTTTAGGATAAAATTAAATTTGACAAACATTATATAAGTAAATATCTTCTCCTAACTTAAGTTTTCTACATTTGTAATAGTCAATATTTGAATCTTAATTATTAAGTTAAATGACATAAATCACTTGTCACTCACATCAACCTAAGTTAGTAATTGAATTCTTTTAGTTTGAATTTATTTTCTTAACAATCCAAACTCTGATTAAAATTGAGTTGAGTTTATTTAGAATTATGATAAAAGAATAAATTATATTATTTTTAAAGTTTTTATCTCTAAAATTTATTAATTTAATTTACTTTTGTAGTTGTATATTCTTAAAAAATAAAATTATTTCTTGTTACTTAGCGACTAAATATTTATTACATATTTAATATTTAACTAACCGTTTAGCTTCTACAATGTATAAAATAAATGTTTGTATTTATATAACCTAAAACTTATAATAAGCAAATATTATTCGATATATAAATTATATTCTAATTAAATTTAAAATTAAATAAATACTTTTAAGATATAAATTATGAAATTTACGAACATACATTCATTTTTTATGGGAGTACATTAACAAGGTATACTATGGTTATATTTTAAGAAAATTATAATTATAATTTATTAACATATTTAAACTAAAAATAAATAAATGAGTTTGCATTAACAAATTGGACAAATATTTTCTAACGCACACCAACTTTCGTTTAATTAGAGGATTCTATTTATTTATTTATTTATTATAAAAGGGGTTTAAAGAATTAGAGTATACTATAGCAAGTTTCACCGTAGGTATATTTTAAGATAAACACAGTAGGTATTCAATAATTCATCCTTCAAGTGTAGTATTATATATACTTTTTTTTATAAATAAAAAAAGGTATATAAGAAATGAGATACTATGAACAAAAATATTACATGATCGTGGTTTATTATTTTTCAGTAAATAGTTGATCATTCTTTTTATGGAAAATGTTGGTCATTAATTAAACTTTAGAACTTGAGTTATTTGATAAACTATCCCACATTTTGAATGAATTTAATTTTGATACTGATACAATGTTGATGTAAAAAAATTACAATAATTTTTTTAATACTAACAGTAAATTATGATTAAATTCTATTTGTTGATAAATAGTTGATACTTGATGGTAACCTAGTTAATTCATAATAAATAATTATCACTAAAATTTATATAGAATTATGGAACCGATTTAATTAAATAGTTTCGAACTAGTGTACTTTGCTACCACCCCTTGTCGAGTCATTTAGATACATCACGAATTGAAGTAACGAACAAAATAAAAAAGAAATATAAATGAGTGGAACATAATATTACAAATCGTAGTACTCTTGATTATTTTAGTGAATGAAAAGGAAAGAAAACGACATGTGTTTCCTTAGACAAAGGAAAGAAAATGATAGTACTCATAATATCTATATCTTCTATTTTTTATGATTTTAGTTGAACATTTTATTTTATGTAGAAAAAAAAATAAAACTTTTTTTTACTAAAAAACATATGCTTTGTGTTGAATTAACTTCTTTATATAAATTTTTTTTAAAAAAAATTATTAATATAGATATATAAAATAATACATGAACAAAGTAATACATTGTGTTAACGTATACAATTTTATTAATATAAAAAAATATTTTCATTTTTAAACAATACATCAAATAATAATATATAAAATTTATATATTTTATTCGATAAAAAAAAGTATAACTTTTCTTTATTATATCAACCTTTAAAAACATAAAGTGATTTTTCTAATTATAACGACTTTATACCTAAAGTGAGAATTAAACACATCCTTAATTAACCAGCATAAATATTTAGCTATCAACTATATATTGATATATAACAATCTATACCGTTGATAGACATACAATAATGTTTATGTTAAATGGCTAAAGGAGCCAACGGGTACCCCAAAGAAAACCCATGATAAGAATGCGTAATTTTTACTATAATAACAACAAATTCTTTCTTCTTCATTTTGTATATTAAAATTCAAATATACGTACATACATTAATTTTTTTAAAAATAATATCCTATTTCATCTAACAATAATCTATATCTTCAAAAGAACTTATTTTCCTTAAAAAGTGGCACATGTCACTCTTAGTATGTTAAATTTGTCAACAACGCAAAACTACAAATACAATAGAAACTCTTTAAATTAATAATGTCAGGACCGGAAAAATTTATTAATTTAGAGAGTTATTAATTTATCGATAAATTAATAATTATTAATTTAAAGAGTTTAGAAGATATTGTGGGTACTATCATTGAGAGCAATGCAGAGGATGACAGCGAAGATGATACAGTGTCTTTGGAGCCTATTACGTGAAAGGAAGCATTTATGGCATCGAACACTCTTCACAACTTTATGATACAATACAAAAATACAACACCTGAGCTATTGGATGCAATAAGAAAAGTTATAGATGAGCTCCAAATAGACTTGAACTTTAAAGGAAAATAGACAACTATTGAATCATATTTTAATAAAGTGTAATATATTTTTTTCAGTTTCTATGAATTATTAATTTATGATTTTTTTTTGATCGAAAATTATAAAGGAATCTCCCAAAAAATTATTATCTTATTATTTTGTCGAGTTTTTCAATTTTTTACATTGACCCAAGTCGGGACTGAACAAATTTATTATTTTAGAGAGTTTATTAATTTACCGAGTATTAATTTAAAGAGTTTCTACTGTAATTGCTTCTACCGGGAGGTGTAAAATGTAAGAAGATGCAAAATCAAACACGATGTTAAATTATCTTCATTTAAATTATATATTCATTTTTTTTAATTAAATATACATATACTCCTATAAGTTTAGAAAGAAAAAAAATACGTCATCTCACTTAATCTCAAATTATGTTGTATAATAAACTTGTTTATTTTATAATAATAATAATAATAATAATCTTAAAAATTATACTTACGATAACTCCAGATGGACTAATAATTTAAGAAAATACTAATAATGCATTAAATCATAATTTTAAGTATATTTTTAAGAATTCAATACATATGATGTGTAAAAATATTTTCTCTATCAACTAATAAAAAATAAGTTTTGATGTGAATTTTGGAGTGATTATTATCAAAAATCAAAAAATTATTGTACATGAATATTTGTAATTGAATTATAGTATAAAAAATTATACTATCAATGTGTATACTATTTTCTCTATTTATAAAATGAGTTTAATATTCATGCATTATCAATATAAAATTACTATTGGAATAACTTTTCAAATAAGTTTTATAAAATTCAACACGCTCACAATAAATGATAATTTGAATTTGTTTATAATATTTATATGTTATTTTTTTCTTATAAAATAAGCATGTGATGATCTTGAAGGGTTGAAATAGAAATAAAGAATGAACTTTAAAAAGAAATAATAATAATAATAATAAAAGAATGTTGATTAGGTTTAGCTTCTTTCTATCTAAGCTATGCACTTTTTAGGAAAACTTGGAAAAGAAAAAGAAGGGAGCAAAAATGAGGAAGGAATAGTGACATGTGTGGGCACTTATTGACCGACTTACCCTAAAAGAACAGTCCAGCCTGCATCTCATGTGGTCTAGGTGAAGTTTCACATTCTGAAAAGTAAAATACAACTAAAAGTGCTCAACAGCTTAAACGCCATTTGCATTTCCACCTTAAATCAACGTCTTCCATGGATATGGATATGATATAGATATGGATCGCTCCATCAAAGGTAAAACGTGAACAGGTTCCATGAATAAAACCCTATATCCAAAAAGCCTCAAAATACTTTGATTAACATCATGGATTTGATTTGAGTTAAGGGCAAAAGCTAATCAACTTTTTTATGTTTTTGGTGCATACAAGATCATCTAGCTCACTCACTCTACCCTACCTTGTAGGTCCACACCCCCATTAGCTTTATTATTCCATGCCACAAAAACACTCTTTCTAAACCCCTCATGCATGCTTCTGGTGGCCCGTGGCCCTTTCAGTCCCATCATTTTTTTCTTCACCCAAACACTGCCTATGCTTAATGCTTTCTCCTCATTCATGCCCTTCATTTTCCTATTTTCATTTCTCTCGGAACCGTAGTCAACTAGAAGAGCAAGAGAAACTAATGGATGAAACCAAGTTTCTCTTAGAACTAAAATTCGTTTCTTCCTTTTGTCTTCATAAATTCGTAAACCTCCTATGCGAAGAAACCGCTTCCTTTCTCTCTGTTTTCTCTTCAGATCCTCTGTTTTCATGCGTCGTGACATTTTGCACCTTGGTTTTCCTCTACTTGCCGCACTTTTTCTTGAAGATAGTCTTGTCTCCGGTTCTCATTCTCACCACAGTTCTCCTTCTCTCCATTCTCCGCCTCGGTGCAATTCAGAAGTCACAACAACATGAACGAAGGGAAAATCAAGAACCCGTCGTTTACGAAGAAAACAGGGGAAGCAAATGCAGGGAAGAGAAACAGAGCTCAGGTCCCGTTGAAGAAACGACGTCGTTGGAACAACTGACCCAGTGGGTTCACTCGGAAACAGAGGTGATTTCCGAAATGGGTTTTGAATCAAGTTCGTGTTTTGTGGAGTGGGACGTGAAAGCGCCATTGGAGGTGATATATGAAGAGTACGGTGAAGGAGAAGATGTAGGTGATGATGCAAACGAGAACGTGGGTATCGTGAGGTACCCTTCGTTGTCGCGGTTTTACCCGGAATCGGATTCGGATAGCGAATCGTCGGAAAATGGATTTTCGGCGATCGGAGATTGGGACTCGCCGGAGGAGGTTGGGTTCCGGTGGGACGAAGAAGAAGAGAGAGAAGGGTTGTATGAGATAGCTCTTGATGGTTGCAAGAGGAAGAGAGGCTTGGAGTTTCACTTCGAGGAAGAGAATTTGATAGAGATCGATATTTCTCCGTCGAGGTTCAGAGACCTTTCCGGTGACGACGAGGTTTTTTCCGGTGAGATCAGCTGCAACTAATAATGTGACATTCATTCCAGATTAACGTAGTGGATTGTTCTGTTTTTTTGGGTCGGTCAAAGGGGAAACCGGAGAATAGAAATCTCTGTTTTTTTTTTTTTAATTTTTAATTTTTTTTTTCAGTGCTAGGATTTTGGTGCTTGCCTGTTTCGACGTGTTTACGATTTCATTAAATTTGTGATCTATGTACAATTAATTAGTAAACCCAAACTTTCATTAATAATGTATTTTTGCGTAGGGTTGTTCTTCTACTTCCCGGGTCCTTCCTCCATACCCAAATAATTAATAATAATGTGTTGTTGCAGCCAAACTTGCTGGTATACGTGGCATTTGTAGTAGCGATGAAGGTTATGCATGATTCAACTATTCAAGCATGAAAATGTGTCTACTTGAAGTTGTTTGCATGTTGATGGGAATGGAATCTGTAGAAATGTTCATTGACAACAAGTAAGGCGAACAAATGACACATGCACACAGCAAATTAGGGGTAATGTTGAATGTGTAATACTAATACATAAAAAAAATTGGATAACATTCACCTTAGAATGCATAATCAACCAACACGAAATTATTCTATTTAATTAATAATTTTAATAAGTTATAAACATGTAATTGAGTTAAATATTTAAAAATAAAACTGTTAATTATCAAGTTTTATTCATTACTTGAATAAAATAATTTCTCATAAAAATATGTAAAATTCTTTTTTTTTTTAATTAACTTCATCTTCAGTCTTTTGAACTGAGTATGAAACTAATATTTGGCCCGAGTTTTATCACATTTAAAGTTCATTGTTACTTTTTCTCATATATGTGTCTTGCAATCTATATATAAATTACTGCTAAAACCTATATATAAATTGATTTATATATTAGTTTTTTTATTATATAAGAAAAATACAATTTATGTGAGTATGTACCTTTTTTATAATCTAAGAACTACACATATTTATGCGGGTATGTACATTCAGGTTAACCTCAACCAAAGCTCAAATTTTATGCTAGTTTTTTGCTTTATGGAGCTCCATCTCTCCTCCAACTTAGAACTTGAGAGATTGTACACTTTTTATGTTCATGTCAACTGTTACATGAGTAAGGCTTCCTTAACCTTAAGTCAAACGCATACTGTTATCTATCTATATCTATTATAATCTATATTATTATTAATAAAATAAAAATAAAAATCTCATTTTGGTTTATACAAATTTTTGACTAATTCACTCTTATAACTTTTACTAAACCACTTTCTCATTCAATATCTTTTATTTATTTTTCTTTGTTATTCTCTTTTTTCTAATAACAACTCATTGTCATTTTTTTTAAATAGGAAGGTCAAAACTGTATCTCTTTTTTTTTTTTTTCTGGTCTATAACATTATATAAAGGAAATGTCTCATTTTATTAATTGAATGTAGTCTCCATTTTTAAATGGACTTTTTTTCCCCTTAAATTACTCTTCTAATTTATTTTATTTAGTTTCTTTTTTCTCCCGCTTTTTTACTTAATCATCAAACATGAGTAATTATCCACTATATTTTTTATTTTCCACATTCTTTTAATAATCAACCACCTTATTATTATTTTTATTTTGAAAAAATAATTAAGAGACAATAACACAAATAGTTTTTAGCAATATTTGAAAAATGTTACTTAATTATGTATAAATGTTATTAATTTGTTTTAGCAACATATTATCAAATGTTGTATATAGTCCATGTTACTAAAGACTTTTAATAACACTTTTACATAATTAGGCAACATTTGAAAAATGTTGTCAAAGTAGTTTTTTTTGTAACACTTTAATGATGTTGCTAAGATTTTGTTAATTTTATAAAATGATAATTAATTTTAATTTAGATATCACTATCAATTATTATATATTTATATGTCTCCTAAACTCCTAGGACTTCTTCGAGAAAAGATTAAAGACATTCTTAATTGTTTTTTAGGAAAAGAAATTCTTAGTTAGTCATCATTAATTATATATAAAATATTAAATTTCATTTATCTTAAGTATAACTATGTGATTATATATACTCTTTATGAGTCATTAATCTATTCAATGTAGAACTTTAATTATGGATAACAATTAGAGATAAGAGAAATATATTTTTTTTACTCAATGTGGGACTTTGATTTTAGAGACAATTATAGTAACATTTTTTTTAAAAATATTGCAAAATAACTTATATGAATTTTTTTTACTCGATATAAGAATTTGATTTTGAAAATAATTAGAAAGAATAATATTAAAATAAAAAAAGTTACTTTATTTATAATGATATTTTTTTAAATAGTGTTGCAAAATAACCTATTTATTTAATATATAGTAACATTTTAATAAATGTAAACAATAAAATATTGTTAAAGAATTAAAATCTAGTACACGAAGTATCTCTTCTCATATCATACTATTATAAAAGGAAGACAAAGTATGTAAGTATGTAATCGTTTTTTATTTTCATTTTTTAGTGAATTGTTCAAATGTTAAGAAGGAAAAATTAGTAAGTTTTCATGTTATGTATGAATAATCACTCCCTTTATCAAAATAATAATAATAATAATAATAATCACTCACAATCACACTATTTTTATTTTTATTTTTTAAAAAAATTATTTCCTGCAGTTATCTTAGCTCTGTCAACCAGTCAAACCTTTCATAATTCCTTTTTGATTAGCCTTAACTTTGGTTACAATTAAACCAGCCATTGATACACTCATGCTATAAAATAATCGAAGGTTCAGTATATGGAAGAAAACCAGATCCTTTGAACTCTCAATGTAGGCTAGTGCAATTTCTTGACTATAATTTTGTATGTTAGTCAGCCACCAAAAGTCGTGCGCAAACAAATGAGAGTTGAAAAGATAGACATATATATACCTTGCTTCTTAGAAGATAAGAAAATCAAACTTCAAAGTAATTGCCTGATACTTCCGTTTCATTTGAATGCAAAGATAAGTATATATATTATAGCCTATGTACATAATAAATACTTATTTTATATGATTACTATCCATAATAAATTAATATTTTAATATATAAGTTATAGTAAAAATAAAATTTATAACGAATAAATGTTTTTCAACATATAATAAATTATATTTTAAATATATAATAAATGATATATATTAATTGCAATATATAATTACAGATTAATTTTAATTATATATGATTTTTAAAGTATTTAAAAATTTAATATAAAAATAAAAAAGTGTATATAAAGTTATTTGTAATAGTCTGTTTAATCCTTAAAGTAATTAATTTTTTAGGATAAAATGAAAAACAAAAGTTAGCGAAAATTAAATTGTTAGATTTTAATCATAAACTCTGAAATTTTGTTTATTTAAGGGGAAAAGAACTTTGTTCAGATTATAAATTTGATGTATTTATATAATTAGAATATACAACTTATTATAGGCTAGAGAAGACTAATATAAATGAGTTCATATATATCTTATAGGTATATTTTTTTAATTACTTTTTACATAATCGTTCTCAACTTACAAACATTTACTTGACCATCGAATCCTTACAAGTGAGTTCAGCTCGAACGAATATATGAAGACTTCATTTGCATATTCTTTTTAAGACTAGCCTTAAACAATTTTTTATTTTATTTATCAAAATCGAATAAGGTACAAAATTCATAACAACTTATGCACTTTCTTCAACCGAGATAGACCCCTTAGTCTATCTTAAACAATTTATTTGTTACAAGTATTAAATATATCAAAATAAACATATATCATATAAATGTACGAACTAATTTAAATATTCAAATATAAAATGGGAATTAATTCATTTATAAATAAATAAATTGATGTGTAAATACTATCATTTCCAAATAAGTTTCGTATAAAAATCCCAATTCTGAAGAAAATTAATCGTTTCATTTTTGACTTTATAAACTCAATTGACGAGAACATGTTGATATCAAATTGCTTAGAAATATATTCATTAATGTTATACGATGCATATCGTGGTCGTGGTTAAGACTTTAAAGAAAGATTGGTTGCTCAAGCTAGATTATGGGTGAGTGACATCCATGTCATTCTATATAATCGGTGGGTCTCTAAATTCTCATTGACTTGCAATCCTCACCGTAACAAATGTTACAAATCTTTTACGTAAATATAAATCTATTATTTATATTCTCACATAATTTTAATATTAATTTTAAATAAAATTTAACAAATATATTTTATATTTATATATTTTTAATAATATATTAACATATATTATATTTATAGTATAAGTAAAAACAATTTTTTGTGACAATTTTTTTTTTAAAGCTCTAGTACCCACCTCTATCTGCATATGCACTATTGGAAATCAAAATTGAACTGAATCTTGGGACTACAAGCAAATTAAAGTGCTACATAACATGAGAGCTTATTTATTCGGTATATCCCTCATGAGGAATTGTTTGGAAATGGAAAATCGTTTACAAAATCACTGACATTATCAATCAAATATTGATAGGATATAGAGGTTAAGGTTTCACATCAGCGTGTTCCTGCAGCAGCATCACGATCTACAAAGAAAGAATCACTTTTACATTTGGTGACACCAAAAGGAGGTGTTGTTTCACCATTAGAAATCAAAGGAACCCTCAAACGGCGACACTGAACAATGGGTGGATTGAAACGACTACTCTTGAACCTTCCATACTTAGCTCTGATTCTAAGATCAAAATCCACAGCCAAGTCATTGTAAACGCCAACACTCGTTTCCTCTTTATACTCTCCAAGTTGACGAGGTTTGAGCTTGATCACACTCTTCCCTTCAAACACTGCTTGAAGGAAGGTGGTATTCTTGTGGCCTTGGTCAAAGGGTGTTAGGCTCAGCCAACTAAAATCATTATCTTTGTACCAAGCTATTGCTGTGATCCTCCTATAGTACACTATGATGTTGTTGTTGGGGTTTCTCACTGTGACGTTGACCTTGAAGTTGTAGTACAAGGTGTTGTTGTTGGTTGTGAGGTTGAATTGTGTTAGGGAGGCATCGGTTACGTGGAACTTGACACTTGAGGGGGAGATGATTATCCAAAAGAGGATGATGGAAAGCATGAGCATGAACATGAGGGTGTAGATTGTGTAGTAGATGCAGCAGAAGCTGCAACGAGGTCTGCAACACATGGTGTGATGATTGATTAATTGGTGTAATGTTGATTCTTATGGGTATTTGTATTGATGGTTTCAGCGTGTGGTTTGTGGATTGAGTTTTTTTCTGGGAGATTTCCTTGCAAAATACAAGTGCATGTAGAGGCATTGACTTTTGAAGCCGAATAATTAAAGGAGAACTCTTCAATTGTTTGATTGGAAAGTAACAAGAAGACTTGGAGATGAAAGTACAAAATATTGATTTTAAAAAAGAAAGGGATTGTGTATTAAGATGTCTGCTCCGTTTGTTTTAATTTCTATATGAGGAACAACACTTTTGATTTTTCATGTAACCCGTGTTGGATGGTTGGATCTAGTCTCAATACACTCCGAAATCCCAGTAATTTTACATGCATGTGAACAGGCATTGTCACAGCTCACAGTGATTCAGAATTGAATAGATATTTTACGTTTCTGCTTCAACTTAGTCTTTGTAAATATATTTTATCTTATTTTAATTTTTCTAATGAAGTAAATAGACATTTTGGTAATGCTAAATAATTTCTTAAATTTAATACTTATTTTCATTTGGATTCTTGAATTTATATAATAATATCATCATCTTAACAACTTAGTAGTGAGGGTTAAGATAATATACACGACATCTTTGATTCAAGTTTTATTATTGTCATTATAAAATGATAAAAAATATCAATACTTTAGTCACATTTTTTAAAATTTTGAATTAATGTAATTCTCGATTTACATTTATAAAAAAAAATAGTTTACATTTTCTTAATTTCAGGTATTAATTAAATGCTTCTAAATTTAAGAATCAAAATGATTATTTAATTTAAAAGGCTAGTTTATTTTCAACTAAACCTCTTTTATCTCTAATGTTTTGTGCTTTCTCTCTCTCTTCTACTCTTCAGACTAAATACAAAATTGAAACTTATTGCTGATGTGCTGTGGTTGTGGCCCTTGTGGGAGCATCTAGCTTCTAGAGTATTTTCATCAAAAATAAATAAATTTAAAATAAAATAAAATAAAATAAAATAAAAATAAATAAATAAATAAAAGCCGAGGGTTTAAATTTGGGGGTGTCAATAGTAATTCCTGTGTTTGGGCTCTTTATTTTCAAGAGGAAATGGAGGAACTAAAATATTTCATGCAGTGTCTAAGCCGAAGACTGTCATCATGGCAAATATTTGTTCCCGCCTGAACCAAGAAGCCTGTCCAATGGGTCTCTGAGTTATCATCCATTGGTCACCCACCTGAAACATAGAATTGGAAGAACAACAAAAACTTTCGTTGCGCTGTTCCTTCCACTCTTTTATTTCATTATTTTTTAAATTTAAACTTATTTTGTATTCTTATCTAGAGTACAAGCATTTTAGTAATTTTAAATAAAAAGCCTCTTTTTTTAGTAATGAAAAACACAATAGAACAAGTTATTTTCACAAAAATATTGTTTTAATATATAGATAAATTAATAGTCATGAATCATATAAATAAAATTGTTAAATTATCATACTTATATGTTATTTTAATACATGCCCAGATACATACATGACCCATGCATACATCAAACTAGTTTATATTGAAAGCTGAAATCTAAATTACACAAACTAACTCTAAATAAATGCAACTAAATATACACTAAATATAACTTCTTAATTACCTTCAATAGTCATTAAAGATTCTATGTAAGCTGAAGAATGGGACACTTATTTGAGGAAAATAAGATATCTTAATAAATTTTAGGACCTTCATTTTGTATGACCCTGATGATGGTTTTATAAAGCTAGTATTCCTAGTCTTCCCAGATGGTTTTAAGCGATTACATATCTAGAAACCAATTTTTCTGCCAAGATAGGGCTCAGAATATAATGTTTAAAGCTCAAGGCTCTGGTCAGTTTATATCCATAATCTATCTTTTTATTTTATTTTGAAACGTCAAATTCTTCAAACTATCACTGTTCTTAGTAATTCTACTAATTGCTAGTCAATTTTTATATATATAGTACTGCTGCTATAAGTGCTTAAACGCAAAAGGGAATAAAAAAAACCATGTGAAAAACGCTCAGATATATATATTGCTAGCAAAATTGGGTTACAATTGAAGCTGAACTTCACCTGTTAATTCATTTGGGAGGAGAGGGGGGCGGGGGGGGAGGAATAGGGAACATCATAATCATTGGCATGATATTATATATTGAAGCTGCTGTTGAGTTCATTTTCAGGTGCCGTAGCAGTTTCTTAAAAATTACAATTCTGTCATACTCGTATTTAGAACTATATAACGCTGTTGACTCCAATTTACGATACCTTCCGTGAAAGGTTCTTCATGCCATAACCAATACACTTCAGAAAAACAGACTGACTGTCCGGATCTGGTTTGATAATAAACTTCAAATTGAGAAAATCCCTTATGTTTCTGAGAGTTTCAACCCCATGCTGGGAAAGTTTCCCCACACGAACCTTGGAAACATCTTGAGGGCATAGAGCACATAGAAGAAATAACAAACCCTATAATAAACCAGAACATTAAAAAACATTAGGGGAACCCTACGTTCCACAATTGGTATTAAATTTCATCATATACACAACACAAGTCCTACAAGACAATAAAATTGAACTAGCTGCTTATTTCAGCACCAAAGAATAGTATTTATGAGTCACCATTCTTCCTGTCCTGGGAGGGTACATTCCAGCTGCATTTTCTTTTTTTCCTTTTAGACTTGTTCTGTTTCATATATTTTTCACTCTATTGTAAGGAGTCTAATTCTTTATTCTATATGTTACCAGTATCAGTCACCTGGGATCAAATTTTTTCTCTTCGGTAAGAAGTTTGCGTCCATATTTCTATGTGATTAGTACCACTATACCAGTATCAATCATTTGGTAAATATTAAAACGGGCTGAAACTGGTGACATACTAACCTGATGTGTTGAATCTACCACTCCACATTGAGTTATCTCCCCAAGTAAAGCATTAGCAATTCCCACACCAATATCCTCTGGAGGCATTAGGTCCTTTTTTGCATCATCAGCAAGGCTAGAAGTATCTTCATCCCTAGCCTGAGAAACGGCAGTATCTGCAGAGATGAAGCAACCAGAAGTAGTTTCGGCAACCAGCGAAATCCCATATCCAGGAGAGCTGCACCAGCAAATGACCAATAAAAGAAATTACATCTTAAAGCAATATGACTTTCCTTATTTCTACCAAATATATTTCCAAAATTCATATTACATATTCCACAATATCCACAGAATGAAAGGAATCATACTTTCCGGCCTGTGGACCTGATCTGTGATCAGAAAAAATGTGCACATCAGAAATGAGCGGATTGATGATTCCTCGGGTAGCTTTAATCATGCTATTTTCAAATTGAACAGACACTCTGGCTGAGAAGGTAGTCCCTCTAATTTTCTTCACAAAACCCTCATCAATCCAATTAACTGCCTGATAGGAAGAACTTATAAGATAACAAAAGGACTTGAATAAAAGATTAAAAAATATCAGAAACCCACCGTTAAACTCTGAACAACAGGAAGGGACAAAATAACTTCTCCACCACCATTTGGAGGCAGTCCACGGCTCTCTACTTTAATATCCAAGCCTTCCGATGGCACTCCAAAGCGCTTTAATATGGGTAAAGCAGTAGACTTGAAGGTATCAACTGATGGATCTTTAGAATCATTCGTAATTCCTGATAGACAACATTTCAAACAGACAGTTTACACACGTTCATCTTCTAAACAGACCTTCCAATGTAGTTTTGAAGCTTTTTACACACTTTCATCTTTTTTCTCTTTTGATAAAAGAAATGTCAATAAAAACAGGAGAATCCACAACAAAACAAGGTCCTACTAATGAGAACCCAGAAATCCTTACAAAAGCGCATTGATTACACTAACATCATTCTATAAAAAAATCATATTTAATTTCTTTACTAGAGCACTTGATAGAATCCTCCTTGAAACAATAACAATAATAATATACCTTTGAGCCTAATGGTGAGGGGCTGTTTGGCAAACAAACATAGAACAATAAGCGGCTCCAGAAAATAACCAATGGAACGCGTGACGCCACAATCGTGCGCACGGTATTGTCTGCCACCCATGATAGTTCCCGGTTTGTACTTCAACTTGGTACCTGGCAATGGCAAATACGAGGAATAATGAATCCCTGGTTGATATAATTATAGAAAAAGAAAAATATTAAAAAGGATTACCGGTTTCGTTGATTTCGACGTGGCAATCGTCGCAGACAGTTTCGAACAATCGGAGGAGCGAAATCTCGTGGTTGCGAAGGCCGGGCCAGGTCTCGTGGGCGCGAATGTCCTCGATGAGAATGGGAGTGGAAGAGAGAGTCGAGAGAAGAAGGCGTTGCCTGAAGCTCTGGCTTCCCTTCAGTCTCTTGTAACCCGTCTTCCCCATTCTATGCCACACAAACACAGTTACGTTCCAAGCTCAAGCTGCAGAACGGAGAATCACTTCTCACTTCTCAGAAGACGAAGCTGAAAAACCCTACACCAAGGAGCCACCCTTGGGTTTAATGGAGATATTTGGGCTCCATTAGGCCCATCCACACTGTCCATAGCCCATGTTTGGTATCAATAATGAATAATTACTTTTTTACAAAAATTATTAACAACCTAACTATATTTTTATTCCTTATAAAATTAGTAAGATTTGATTTAGTCATTGACATATTTAAAAATTCAAATAGGTTATTATTTGTCTATATTAAAATGATTGTTAAGACTAAAATTAATGACTTTAAATTTTAGAGAGATAAAAATTAAAAAATATATATATTTTACAGAAATCAAAAATAAAACTTATTTACTTCATAAGAACTAAAAATAATATTTATAATTTTTAAAAGAATGAAAAAACAAAAAAAAATTACAAATTCATATTTTTTACATTGAACTAAAAATATGTTTAAGTCAATTATAAAATATAAATAAGTTTTTGTAGGATATACTTGTAGATGCTTTTGAGATTAGTCTCTAATTAAAATTTAAGAATTATTAACAATACTATCTTCCAAATATTTTCTATAATTAATTAAAAATTATTAAAAATTATTTTTAAAAAAATCGTAGATTTTACTTCTTAATTAGGGATAAAAACTCATTAGATGAAAATTGAGATCCACTAAAACTTGTAATTTTTAACAAATTTTAATCTATACATTTAGTAAAGGAGATATCCTATTTTGGTATACACAAATTTTATACTAATTTACTTTATAACTATTTCTAATTCATTTTCTCTTTTATTGTCTTTTATTTATTTCTTTTTTCTTTTTTCTACTTCAATAATATTTAGTTTCTAAATCTTTCTAATGAATAATATTTATTCATTAGATGAAAATGTTTTAATCAATTCATAAAAAGCATTAATTTAATATCAATATTTGTATAAGTTTTGTAGGTCCATAATTTTTATTTTTTTATTTAAAAAGTAACTACTCATTAATTTAAATGAATAAAGATATCTCTTAGTTATATTAAAGACCTTTTTCTAATTGATTATGTGACTATTTAATTGAAGGGACCTCCTCCATTACAGTGGTAGAGAATTGGATGTTAATATGAAATCTCAAGGTTTCTACCGTATGAAGTTCTTTCTTTGGAGAATATGCCACAATTATTATCCTCTTAGAACTATTCTTAAAAATAAAGGAATGGATTGCTCAGTGACTTATGTTTGTTGTAATGTGGATATGGAACATGTTTGATATTTTTTTTCACATGTGCAACCAACAAAAAGTGTTGGGGTTGTCAAGTTTGGAGAGTATGCTCCAACCTATTATTGATAATATGAAATGTATTGCGATTATTGTTTTTCAGTTCTATCCCCTTTTTTAATGAAGACCAAGTTACAAAATTTGCCATGATTCTTTGGAGCCTTTGGAAGTGTCGTAATGAAAATATATGAGATGGTAAAGAGTCAAAGACTAATGTAATATTGTTGCATACTTATCATGTGTTGAGGAATTAACAACTTGCCTCTACTATTCCTAATGACAACAATTATAGTGGCTTGCTTGTTGTAGGAGCTTGGCATAAACATCTTGTTGGATTTTGGAAATGCAATGTTGATGCTAGCTTCCACTCCCATGTGCGCAAGACTAACTAGGGTTGTTGCATTATTATATCCAAGCAAAAGTAGATTGGATGCAAACTTGTGCTGAGACAAGGGAGGGGGAAGCTTTTATATATAGAAATTTATTTTTATATTTTCACCCATTCTAACAATATAAATTATGAAACATTTTTTAATGTTTCAAACTTATTAAATTTAATGTTAATCAATAATTTCTTCTTTTTTTTTAGGAGCATTTGAAAAAACACCTTAAAGAAATTTTTATATATAACAATTCTTTGACAATCAAGTTTTATTGTTCGGATCTTTTCTATGTTGTCTTGATTTTTAAGTGTTTTTTTTTTATATAATGTTAAACATTAATTGCTCTATTTTATAATGTCAACCATAAAATATAAATATAGTTATTCAAAACTATATATATAAAAAAAGTCATGTTTTAATTGAGTGAGAAAAGGGGTTGTAGATTGTGAGAACCGTATCCCTCATCTTTCCCTTTCCACTCTCTTTTCCCACTCTCTTCTTCCCCATTTTTTCTCACTTGCTCATTTCTTCTTTGTGGTGGTTGTGGCTAACTTAGGTGTTGATTAGTGGCATTCGAAGCTAGTGGAAGTTCTTCTTCCTCGTCTCATTTCTCTGTTGTTCTCCGATCAAGCTCCTCCTTCTTCATTCTCTTTTTCTCGGAGCTCGGAATCTTCTACCGAGGTAAGGGAAGCTAGTTTTTGGCTGTGTTTTGCTGAGAGTGAGTTCATAGACTCATTTGTGGGCTGATGTTTAGATGATTTCCGGGCTGAGATTGCTGAAAATGAAATTTTGGGGTTTTCAGGGTTTTGAAGAAATTTGGGGTTTTTCTTTGATTTGAAGTTGCATGTTGGAAATGAGGTATTTTTCTTGATGCTTGATGAAAATGTGAACTTTTGGCTGGTTTGCATGTGCTGGATGAGTGGATTTTTGCAGGTTTAGGGAAAATTTTCGAACTTGGTGGGTTGCTGCTGAGCCTCGCGCTGAGTGCCGTTCTTCGCGCCGGGCGCGAGACCACCTGGAGGCTCCTTTTAGGCAAGTCCGCCGGGCGCAAAGATGTGTGCGTCGGGCGAGCTTGAGAAGGTGAGCCTCTAGATAGCCCACGCCGGGCGTGACATGGATCGCGCCGAGCACGCTGGCAGTATGTGACATGTTTTGGGATTATGGTTCCACGCTGAGCGCGACCCTCTTCGCGCTGGGCGCGGGGACTCCTTGGGAGTCTCTGCCATGGGGGCGCTGGGCACAATTTAAATTGCGCTGGGCGCGAGATCTTGGGAGGTCTCTGCCTTCCCCGCGCTGGGCGCGGGTTAGGGCATGTCGGGTGCGCGAGACTCCTTAGGGTCTTTGCCTGGACATGTGTTGGGTGCAATTTTGTATTGCGCCAGGCGCGTAAGAGCCTTGGGCTCTCTGGCTGGGTCACGCCGGGCGCGGGCACTCTTGTGTCGGGCGAGCTAGCCCCTGGTGCTCTCTGGTTGTGCCACGCCGGGCGCAACCATGAGTGCGCCGGGCGCATATGATGAGGTGAAATTATATGCTGAAATTTGTTGATAGATGTTGTTTATGCTGAACTAAGCTGAAATTGATGAATATGTTGTGTTGACTAGATGATAATGTTGAATAATAGATGTATATTGCCGTGCTGAGTTGGGCTGTGATTGATGATTTTAAATGCTGAATTATAATATTGATGTACTATAGAATGTTGAGCTGAGTTGTGAGTAGTAAGTTGTGTTGAATACTACTTGGCTGTGCTGTATGCTGATTTGTTGTGTTGTATATTGCTGAGCTATATGTTGGTCATAGCCACTATTGTGGTGCTGTTATAGCCACTATTGTGGTGCTGTTATAGCCGCTAAGTCGGTGTTGTTATTGCCACTATGTGGTGCTTTTATAGCCACTAGAGTGGTGCTATTATTGCTGCTATGCAGTGCTGATATTACCGCTTTACGATGCTGATATTGCCGAATGTTGTGGTGTAGTATAAGTTGGTTGATGTGCTGATAGCTGTAGTTGTTTACATTCATATTGTTATATATGTATGTTGCTTTCTTTTCACTAGCTTACCCTTTGTTGTTTCCATGGTGTTTGGACTGCAATGATCATACTATGTATGGGAGCAGAGCAGGGATAGGTTGGTTGCTGGTGGTAAGTCTGCAGCTGGCAGATAAAGCTGATCCCATCGGGTGTTTTGTTGTTATAGCTACTTGGTGTAGTAACGATTGTTGTATTTTGTATACTTTAACTCTATCCAGACTTGGACCTTGTATATGTATATATTCTAGACCCTATATGTATACACTTGTTCCTTTCTGTGTGGTGTTTCTAGTGTGTTGTGCGGTGTGTAGTGACCAGCTGGGTCGTTACATAGATATATTTATCAAAATAAATAAGAAAAATAGAGTTAAAAATATAGATGATTGTTCATCCAATGCACAAGTTAGTAATGTAGAGACCAATAAAATGAAGTAAAATTAGTGTAGAACAATTAGTTAATGAATAAAATTATATTGATTCTCATTCTCACAATGAAAATATAGAACAAATATGACAAAAAAAATAGAATAATAAATTAGAAGAAACAACTAAAAATATATATGATACAAGTTAACGGGCAAATGTTAGTATAAGTTAGAAAGACTTATTGATAGAAAAAGATCCTATTAAAGTTACTAATATAGATTTTCCTAAAGATGAATTCTCAAGACATTTTTCTTTGTCACTTTACATTCAAAAGTTATCCAATAGTAAAAAAACATGAAAGTAGATGGTTGATTTATTCTCAAGACTTAGACAAAGTATTTAGTTTTTTGTTGCAAATTGTTTAATGTTGTTCATATCACAAGTAACTTAGCTAATGAATGTAGTAAGAGTTGAATAAATATCAGTCTTAAATTGAGGAACCATGATATAAATATAAAAAAGCACATTGCTGACATCACTTCATGGATTGACTTAAAAACTAGATTGTTAAAAAATAAAATAATTGAAAAACGTGTTCAAGAACATTGAGAAATGTGTTATTTAGAATTATTGCAATTGTTAAACTCTCAGAAAATTAACTCAGCCTTTCACGAGACAAATGAAAAGATTTATGAAAAAATAATAATTTTTTTAAGTATAATTGAAATGATTGCAAAATTTGTAATGCAAGAACATATTCATTGTATTAAAGAAAATGAAATTCATAACCATTACCTTGGACATAAAATACAAAATGAATTGATAAAATTGTTAGCAAGTGAAATTAAAACATGTATTATTTATAAAAAAATTAAAAACACAAAATACTTTTTCAATTTCACTTGATTGTACTCCAAATGTTAGTCATCAAGAACAAACGTCTTTAGTATTACGATGGGTAGATGGTTCTTCGATTTCAATACAATTTATGAA